CTTTATTATGGTATAGTATTTAAATATATGCCTGAGAAACACATAATATTGCCCCTTTAATTAATTTTTTGGTCAACCGTAACACTGGAAAGGCTGCACCGATCAGCGTGAAATTTTGTAGGAATGTAGATGTGTCCAACCTACACTGTGCCAGCCAACAATTTAAAGATAGACCCCATATTTGAGGAGTGGGCTCCATCTGAAAAGGTGCCAAAAGTGCAAAAATGCTTATAACTCAAGAACTACATAGGAGCTTCAGATTGTCTTTAGCCCAAATAAATAAATAATTATAAGACATCAAGTCATCATTTTGAGATAGCATCTGTTTAAATGGCTAAGAGGAWCTTTTTTTCAGATTGACAGAAATGGCCTTCCATATATTTCTGACAGAACAGAGTAAGAAAGAAATCGCTATCCTAAATGATGTTAAATTAATTTGAGAGGACAAACCTGTCTCCTTGTCCACCTGTGACACCAATCTGCTGTTTGAGTTGTCAATGCGTTTTGTGCTGCAAAATCAGAAGACAGAAACGGTAAAAAAATAAAATGAAAAAGTGCATCTTCTAAATATAATCCTAATAGTTTGCACAACAAAGCTGCAAAAGTATTTTTAGACAGCTCTCAGTGAGACGCACTTCAGTAAGTGCGATGGGAGCAGAGCTGTCTTTTTTAAATTTATAAACAGAGTTTGATGAATGTTTGTTTCTTTGAGGTTTGTTCTTTTATTGCAACATTTAACAGATAAACTTGCTTATTAAGTAGAAGTATTTTGGTTTTGTTTCAGAATAGAGGCAAAATGTTTTCTTTTGGGAGGAATTGGACACAAGCTCCCAYAAAACGCCTCACTTGTAGTTTCGTTCCCAGAACTTGATCGGCCGAGGGTAGGAGGAAATGAAGACGGCACTTCCGAGGAAGGGCGCCAGAGGCGTGTAGAAGACAGTGGTGATCAGAGTCTGGAGCAGCAACATGGCTGAATCTGGAAACACGTGGGGGTTCAGGGAAAGAAAAAAAGGCTGCTATTGATGCATTTTCAAACCTAGAGCGGGACTCAAGAGAAAGGATACGAGGCACGGCGAACGGCTGAGCGAAGGCGTGGAAAGCGCTGCCCCAGGCGATCTGCCAGGGAGCGATGTAAACCAGGATGAAATGGAGTTTTAGCAACAACTCGCGCATCTGGGGGAGAAAAAAACAGAAAAATAGATACTATATAATGTCCCATTGTCACCCCACCCTGATACATACTGAGCTAAAATGTATTGTTCTAGCTGGGAGTAATCCTGCAGACATATTGTGAACTTTTAACATGTAAGGTGCTGGGTGACATGGAATTTTCTAAGCAATGCTAGTGTAGATAGAGAGCTTTTTTTTTCTTCCGTACGTTTGTTGGTCCCTTTCTCATTCCACAAATTTTATGCTATTTCAATATATCAAAACGTTCAGCTCATTCAGGACATTCCAGCTATAACTTTTGGTATTTATSCTTTTTATACTTTTATACCTTTTAGCTATTTCACTTTTTTAGCCACCTTTTTGCCATTGAAAATGAAYGGAGCTTTTTTCAACATCCTTAAAATCCTTCAAATTGTTTCTAAATCTTTACAAAACCGTACACAATTTGTTCTGGTTTTGCTCTTATTAAATTCCTTGTGACAATTTTTGCTACTTTTTTTTTGCAAATTTTAGCTTTTTTCTAGTATTTTAACTATATGTCTGCCCTTTTCTGTTATTCTTTTGTTCATTTTTTAATTTTTGTGCTTCTTTCTGCCATTTTGAGTTATTCATGCTTCTCACAATTGCTTTTTCTGTGTTCAGACATTTGAGCTTTTAGCTTTTAGCTTTTTTATGCTGATTTACCTATATTTTTGCTCCWTTTTACTGATTTTCTGCTTTATTTTATTTTTTCTTCTTTCAGATTTCCAAGTTTAACTTACAATACTTTAGCTATTAAACATTTTCAGCTCAACTTCAGCAGCTTTCAGCTAAAGTTTTCATCAACAGACATTCACACTAGCATTTTTGCAGGAAATGCAATTCTTTAGTTTTGATTGATTTTACCTTGTGGAAGACAATAGACATGACAAAGAAGTCCAACAGGAAGCTCTCTGAGGCGTGCGGACAGTCAAAGTAGAAAAAAACGAGCGTGAAGAGAAGTGTGAGGAACTGGAAGCTCGGATCGCAGAAAGACGAACGCAGGAGTTTCAGTCCGGCGACTGTCGTCAGGAGAACGTCGCAACTGGAAGCGGCACAAAAACAAAAGGCGCGTTGAGATTTGGCGGTCGGGTGTGAGATTTTTGTGGCTGCTCGAGGCCACTCACTGGATTCCCAGCTTCTTGCGGTGACTGAGGGCGAAGCCGTCRTTGGTGAGGGCGCTGAGCACGACGGCAGGGTACACCACGTACTTCTCGAAGCACAGGAGCCCCACGTAGAGACGCTCAAACCACATGAGCACGGCATCCTCTGTGCAACACAAGCAAGAAGAAACAAATGGTTTGTGGAAGAGCATCTTTAAGGAAAACCATGTTAGGGTTTTTTGTTATACTATTATTTTTTATTTCAAACTTTACTCATTACATAAAAACAAAATTAAATGGCCAATAATAAAGGAAATACAAATAAAATGAAATGAAAGGTGGCAGAGAAAAGAAATAATTCTTATAATATCTGCCCCTTTTTTCTCAAGTWTAAATTCTAACTATAATAATCTTCAGTTAAAAAAACAAACATCAAATCTTTATGAATGGCTACATATTAAACCATTTCATACTTTTTTAACAATCTAATCTTTATAATTGTCTTAAACGTATACATTGATGTGGCACTTTTAACATCGTCTTCCAAATTATTCCACAATCTCACTCAGTCAGCGTCGCGAATSCCCTCTGAAGGATTATTAGCCATCAGAGTGGATTCCAAGTTTTACTGTATATCTTCATTTCCTGTCTGTTATTTAATAACAAATATTAGAATCAGCCAAATCATAGAATTTCAATAATTTCAGTTTACAAAATAATATATTAGATGGATAATGGTAGCTTTTTTCGAGTGATAACTCCTATAGCCCTTTTCTGCAAAACAAAAACAGGATTTGTAATTGTCTTACATGCTTTACCCCATACCTCAACACAATAGACCAAGTGTGGAACAATTAATGTGTTGTAAAACATTTACAGAGCTTTATCATTAAATAAGTCCCTTACTTTGTAAAGCAATGCAATAGATTTAGCTWGTTTTATTAAGTAATTTATATGAGGTTTCCATGTCTATTTCTCATCAATAACATCACCCAAAAACTTTACCTCACTGACTTTAMTAATCTCTACACCAACTCTAAATGGAAGTTTTAGAGTTGAAGTTTTGACAGTCTGTCCTGTGAAAGTAAATAGCTAACCTCACCAGGTCAACAAATGCAGGAAGATTTAGKAGGAAAACTATGCAATAAATACAGTTTCTGACACCCAACAGCACTTGGATTAACAAAAGTACGGTATACACTGTGGGACATTTCTTGTTTCTAYAGGAAAAGGGATGCAAACCTCTGGGTTCAAACTGGTAGTACTCTTTGGTCTTAAGAACCGGGTGAGAGACCCACAACCATGGGTGATGCTTCCGCAGCTGGGGAATGAGGTAGTGGGTTACAAAGCCCACTGTCCCAGCCAGAGCGTACAGCACGATGGTCACAAAAGGCTGCAAGACAGAAAATTCTAATGTTCATTAAAAGCATATGTATATACAAGCAGACAAAACATTTCTGTTCTTAGTATTGGAAAAATGAGAAACAGGAGAAAATCTGACCTTCAGAGAGAGGAACACGGTGCTCGCCGTGATGGCGAAGGTTAGGATGTAGGCAACAGAGCACACGATAACATCAGACAGCAGGATCTCCTTCTGCAGGTTTCAGGAAGGAGGTGTAATTACTCAAAATCCACATCAGCTCTCTGTCTCATTCAGCTGCTTAATTATTCCTGCTTAATTTTGTTTTGCTCTCAGTGATCAAAGATAAAGCAGCCTGGGAAAAGTACACAATCATCTCTGATATTATTAAACTGTAGCAGGCTACGAGATGTTTGAGCTGTAAGCACACACAGTGATGAACAGCAGATTTGTAGCTCGATCTCACTCTCATCAGAAGGTTTACCACGGCCTGTTTGCTCTCGGCCACAGTGATTATGAGTATTGATTGCTCGGGTATAATTATTGCAAGCTGACATGATCTGATGTGTTTCTGGGCCGGATTGTTTCATGAAAACAAAAAGGAGTCACTGAGAGAGTGCCTTCACCTTCCAGTGACACTCAACAAAACTATATATGTATATGTATGTATACTGTAT